CAACATGATGATCATGACTAGATATAGAACGAGAATATATGGCAAATAGTTTATCGTGTTAGGGACAGTTCCTGAAAATATCTTCGTTGAATTAGGCCTTTCGCCCCGGAAAAAGAAAAATTGGGGTGGGTTGGGTCTCGATTTCTGTCGTTCATTGGCTTAACTATTTTCGATGGGAAAAATTATCCAAAAAGTTTTAAATTTATCGCATTTTTGCTAATTCAGCCTCAGACCTTTTAATTTTGTCAATTGAGTTCTAAACCTTTTCACGTTTTGCCAGTTGAATCGGTTCGATCAATTTTAACTAGAAATCGCTGACGTGAATGCCGGTAGCGGCACGTAAGACGGCAGGCAGTACATGGACAATTTTTATAATTTTTTGATTTTTTTTTATAATTTTGATTTTATTTTTCTTTCTTTATTTTCCTTTTTTTCTACCAAGTCCGGCGACCATAGGTGAGGGCAAATAACCCTCATTGACTATTGGGTGAGGGTTGCGAAGCCCTTGCCGGTTGTAGGTGAGGGCACAAAGCCTTGTTGGCCGCGAACCAAGGGGCCAGGGCTTCGCAGCCCTTGCCAATTCTGGGGCAAGGCCGCGACCCTCGCTTGCGACCAGCAATAGTTGGCCGGCCCTCGCCGGGGCTTGAAAGAAAAAAAGGAAAAAAAAATATTAAAATATTACTGAAAATTGTCTACATCAACGCTAGACGAACCACGTAGAACATCCGGCGTCTACATCAGCGATTTTCAACTAAAATTGGCCGGATGGACTCAATTTGCAAAACGTGAAATGTTTAGGACTCAATTGGTAAAATTGAAAGATTTAAAATTAAATTGATAAAAAGTGCAATAGCGTTATGATGTTTTGGATAATTTTCTCATTTTCAATGAATTGGTTATTATCAGTCATTTATGCACCTTTTAAGTATTAAAGCCAATCGTTTCGAAAAGTTTAGTTTTGTTCGTCTGGATAGGTCGTTGACCTTTCTTGTGGTTGAGGATTCTTTATAGGAGTAGAATTTAGTTAATTTATTTTATTTAATTTCAAGCGAGGCCCCTTGCTTTTAATTTCTCTCGTACTTTAACAGAAGAAAACTATGATTAATAGCTTCTCGATAAAACCGACATAAGATATTGGTTATTTGAAGGCGTGATATATGAAATAATCATTAAAAAGTACTTCAAAGTCCTATAACGAAGGAAATAATACATTTTAATTTGACTAAGAAAGTAAAAAAAATTTGCATGTTATAACGCGATATCACTTGATTAGAGCAAAGACTCTTCTCGACACCATTATATTATTATAAATTATGGGACCGAAAGCATGAGATAATCATAGGCGCATAGTTATTAAATGTCTGCTATAACAAAATTGTGAAAAAAAAAAATTCCGTGGCAAAGCGCGGGTATTCGGCTAGTTCCCTCTAAGGCTCTGATTATAAAACAAAATGCGTCTCCACGTAAATCTAATAGAACCGGTCATGTTTATTAGGATTTTGTTAACAAGCGCCCGTTCGAATACTAAAAATTTATTATTTTGGAGATATTATTTTCCTCCTCTAGCGCATGGAAATTAAAAAGATTTCTTTTACTAGGTATGATTAATAAGCCTAGTAGAGACACCAGATAACAAAACCCTATCTATATCAACATGTCACAACAATATCTCTTTCGAGGATAGACTCAAATTTATAAGGAATCGATCATTCTCTTTGCAATGAGATTTTTCTTGCGCTCTCCATTGATTCTACTACCTATTTATTACCCTTGTCCATTTCCCTCCTCTCTCTATCTTCATATCAGGACTCCTTCGTATTAAATATATTTTCCGCCTTAATATAAAAGTGCGTTTGCTAAAATGAAAATACATAAATCACGTGTACTTTGAGATATACTATATAACAAACGCAGCATAACGAGTTAAAATATCACTTTAACGTCTTATTGCATGAGTTGCTCAAAATGATTCATATATTATGTTAATATTAGCATTATATAAGACAAATACATTGATGGGAATTTCTCTCTATGCTTAAATATTTATATATAACTTTGAGTTATAAAATTTGTGCAACATTATTTTATTGCACTCACCTAATAATATTCGTCTTGTTTTCACCTGCGCCTCTTTTGTCCCCATCCCACGAAAAGATTCTCCCTTTTTCGGCGTTACGAAGCAAGACTTACCCACCTCTTGACAATAGCGAAAGAGTATAATTTATGCCGAAAGGTTCACGGGCTGTGTTTGTTTGGACCTGAAAAAAAGCCTTTGTCAGAATTCAAAATATTGTTTAAAATTCTAATAATAATATAAAATAATCATATACAGATTCACGCGTCAATATTTAAATGTTGCGGAAAATTTCGTTTCGAACTTAGAAAACGTTGAAACGCGCGAACCACAATATCTAAAGTGTTAATACCATGAAAAATCCCAAACTGGTATACATGTGATAATTTTACCCTAAACTAATATTTTGATCACTAAAAACCCCAAACTGGTACATTTGTAACAAATTTACCCTCCGTTAATTTCCGTTAAATTGGATTAATACCACAAAAAATCACAACATGGTACACCCATGAAAAACGAAGAGTAAAACATAAAATTGGTACATCAGTCAATTGCCGCGTGTCATTTAACAAAGCAATTTGACAGTAAAATTTAACGGAAATAAATTGAGGGTAAAATTATCACGGGTGTACCAGTTTGGAGTTTTTTGTGGTCAAAAAATTAGTTTGGGATAAAATTATCACATATATATCAGTTTAGGGTTTTTCATGGTATTAACTCATATCTAAATCAATGAAAGCAAAAAAAATCAATCTAGCTAAGCCCTCGATGTGCCGTAATCTCAACTATTCGTATCGCGATTAGCAAGGAGCAATTAAAATTGAATTCGAACATTTCGTGACGGGCGCGGGATTTTCTCGATAAGTCAGAAGGAAGTGGCGAACTTCGGTTGTGCCTCTTCTCTACTACCGAGGTGGAAAAGGTCAGACGAGGGCCCCCACGTGGGCCGGACCACCGCACTTTTTGAACTTTTCCGCCACTGGTCGGCCCCTGGTCCCCTTTTAAAACGTCCTTTTGCATGCCGACATGGACCGACCATGCCCATGACGTATGCTGAGCTGGGGGGCTCACGTCATCGCCTGACCTCGCGCTTACGTGTGCAGCACGTCGGCAGTCGCTCCCACCTCGTAGTTCTACATGGGGTCACTTGCCGAGGCTTTGGAAGCCCTCGAAGGAATCGGACTCTATAATGTTGTTAAATTCAGCATCGATTCCAAGGTCGAGGCTAACGTAGGAGCTCAGATTTCTCCAATAAATTAAGTAGAATTGCACTTCTTTCCAGAAAGGTGGATGCCCTTTGGAAGGGGGAGAAATAAATCATAAATAATTCGTAACGGAATAATGCCGCGGATACCTATCTGCCCTTTCTTTGATTTCTACACGGTATCGATTTATAAAATTGATTTTCTCATTGGGTACTTGAACACGTCGAAGCAACAGATGCTCGTTCGACATCGTTCGCGTGGATTTTTGCTAGCCTCTCATCTGATTCGTGAGATTGATGACGTGATTTTTAAAATAGAGATTTATTTAGCTAAGGCGGGTCATATCGCCCTTTAAAAGCTTATTTTAGAGTTTGTCATGTCATTTTATAAATTTATTAATCATTTTGTCGTGTCATTATTATGCAATGCACAATTGCACATGACTTTTAAAAGGGCAAATGTGTATTTGCATCTCACTTTTTTTTTGTTTTTACAAGAGATCTATCTTTTATCCTTGATTTCTATAAAATAAAAAAAAATAAAGAAAAAGGGAGAATAATAATTTTTAAAAAATATATTACTATCGTAAAAAATAAAACATCAATAGAAATATTTTAGAAAATTTGATATAAACGAATATATCAATAGAAATAATTAGATATTTTAAGACAAAGGCAATTAAGTAAAATGGAAAAAAAAGGGCTCGATAACAAAAATGTCAAATTACAAAAATAGGATACTCATTATGTATTTTTAAATGGTTAATTGACGTAACAATGATTGATGGATAAAAAGTATTTGAAAATATCATCTTGGATTTCGGTTAATCATCTCTTTTTATGAGTTCTGGGCGTCATTTCCTTTAATATTTTTTAAAAAAATATTCTTATTGTTTTACCTTAATTAATTATATAAATATGTATTATAAGTAAGTACTTTTGTTACTAGACACTTTTGTCGGGGAGATCTTTTCCCTTTTTCATCTAATTTGTGTTTATTCTTTTTCTTAAAACATCTTCTTTAGTTCTATTAAAGTGGCTATATTTATTCACGACCAAAAAAAAAAGTGGCTATATTTACTAAAACATTAAAAAAATTTTATCGTATAACAATATTATTGGTATTTACCTTTTCTATTATTAGTATTGTAGTTAATTTAGTTTTCTTCCGATTTCTATAATTTTTATTTTCATTTTTCACAGCATCTAGGGTTAAAAGAAAAATTTTCTTAAAAAACGAGTCGAAATCATACCTTTGCCTCCTTAAAATAATGTAAATTGCATATGCTGGCGAAAAAGAAATCGAGTAATTAAGCGACGTAACAATTTAAGAGTTCGGAGAGCATTAATGTAACGGTTGAATGTTCGGGAGGTAGGGTACGCTTATAACTCTTCCAAAGGTTTAGCCGAGCTCCGCATAGTTTTCCCCCCAAAGAAAAGGCTTTGCAAAGAGCCGGGAGATGGCGATATGCTAATGAACTTCATCGCCAGTAAATAGAGCGCCGCTCGAGGACAAGGAGCGAGCTAGCTGTCGTTCCCGTTGACCTAGAGTCGCGGCAGTAATGCTTTTTTACTCGGTCTCCGACTACTCCGATTCGATCCCGCTCCTCCTCCTCCTCCTCCTCATCTTCCCTTCTTTAAATAAAACGCCTCCTCATCTTCCTCGAAGTTGCTCCCCAGCGTGCGAACGTTAGCGGAAGAGAAGGTAGGGTTGAAAGCTCTGAAAAAGTGAATAGTAACCCCCCCCCGCGACCTACTCCGAAACTTCGCAGCTTCTCTCTCTCTCTGTCTTAATCAATTTCGGAGCCTTTCGTTGTTCCTTGGTCCTCCGCCTGACGTGAGAACGAATGGACACCAAGGTCATATCCACCGGGAAGCGGTACGACGCCCTGCCGGAGAGCTACATCCGGCCGGAATCCGACCGCCCCAAGCTCTCCGAGGTCTCCACCTGCGAGAACGTCCCCGTCATCGACTTGGGGTGCACCGACCGAGCCCAGATCGTGGCGGCCATCGCCTATGCCTGCTCGGTCTTCGGCTTCTTCCAGGTGATTGTCCCCGAGAACACGAATTCAAATCAAAGACTAATTAAATGGTTGGCCTCCTGGTTTGGGTCCGTTAGCTAATTTTAGCTTTGGTCAATTCGTGGTGGGGGGTGCTTATCTTTTCTTGAAGGTTGTGAACCACGGGGTGTCGAAGGAGGCGGTGGCGGATATGATGCGAGTGGCGAAGGAGTTCTTCAACTTGCCGGTGGAGGAGAAGCTGAAGCTCTACTCCGACGACCCTTCCAAGACAATGAGACTGTCCACGAGCTTCAACGTCAAAAAGGAGAAGGTCCACAACTGGCGAGACTATCTAAGGCTCCATTGTTATCCCCTCGAGAAGTACGTCCCGGAATGGCCCTCGAACCCTTCTTCATTCAAGTACGCCCTCTCTCTCTTTCTCTCTCTCTCTCTCTCTCTCTCTCTCATTCTCTCTCTCTCTCTCTCTCTCTCTCTCTCTCTCTCTCATTCTCTCAAGCCAGAGCTTTCATGAACAGAGAATTTGCAGCATAAAAAAAGATTATGATTAGCCCTAATTGCAGGCGTTTCCCATCAATGATTAAAGCACACGCATCATGCATGTCGGCAATTTACTTTCGCTGTCCCTCAGGAAATATTTTATAGAGAGAGAGAGAGGGGGAGAGAGAGCTTACGTGATCTTCATGATGTGCTCTTCCCCTTTGAAACTTTCCATACACCTTATAGCCATCACCGCAAGAAAGAGGCGCGAAGTGGAGCGCCTCTCGTCTTTGAGCTTGGGGTCATCTCTTAAATCTTTCTATATTAAGGACGAGGCCCCCTTTGACATCCTAGGGTTTTAGACTTTCCTAGAAGGTGCAAATCTAAGTCGTGCTGTGTCCTTTTTTGTTGTAACCTAAGACATATAGTGTCCTGACACGTGTTTCGATAGCAGTGAGGCCAACTACCAAATGACGGCACACCTTAAAAAAACCGTTTTTTATGTTGATTCGCATGGATCGAACCGTTCATAATGTCCGAAAAGTGGTCATACTCAACTGATATCACGTGGATCTCGCGTTTAAAAGAATCGTCTGATCTACCTGCGATGAATAAAATAGGTATAGACTAGAAACCGTTGGATCTGGCAACTAGCTATGCTTTAGCAACTAATTCTTCCGAGAATTACTAGGAGTTCAAACTCTGTATGGTTTTGGAAATTTGTTCCTCTATGGGAGATTTTATCTTAACTGGACATGCTGTTGGAAAGTCAAAATCTCTTTGTACTGCAAAATCCATCTCCCCGTGAAAAGTTCCGAGAGCGGCGGACAATGGGCTTTGATAGGTGGGGCCAAGCGATACGCATCGGATTCGGGAAAAGACGGGGTGTACCATATGTCTTATTCTAATGCCATTCTAGATGTTCTAGTGACTCCAAAGGGAAGACTTCTTCCCCCCTTTTCATGTATAGCCAAATGCATTAATTCTCCAACAAAAAAAATCCCCACTACGGATTGAATTCTAATTCTATTCCGAAGACTCTTTTGATCTAAAAAAAAATCACAAACTTTCGTTATAGTCTCAAAGATGCCCCCGTGTCCAAAAATCGCCACCGGTTTCTTCAAGATTATCAACATCAGGAGGCCGTTGTTGTTCTATAAGAATGCGGTGATTTTGATGAACACGCGGGTTTTGATAACGAACCTCTAGCCGGCTCCGATGTTGATAATTTTGAAGAAACCGGCGGCTATTTTTGGACGCGTGGGGGAAAGATTCGGGACCAGACTGAAAGTTGGGGATTTCTTTTTTCGAGACAGAAAAGAGAAAGTTTGAAGCAGAATTGGGATTAGACCTAAAACTCAAGGGATTCTTATCTATACGAAATTAGGCATAGTAGAGCCAAAGGTGATTGCTGATATTGTAAGAAAGAAAGATACATATATGGCGAGTCGCGGTACTCTCGGACAGCAACCTTGGACTTCGTAATCTTGCCCATTTCTGGCCTCGTCCGAGTTGAACTCTAGCAGCAGGCAGGAAGAATCGGAATCAATCGGGCGGTGAGGTGGGGCATGTGAACGCGAAAGGACTAAACCGACCGAGGAAAGAAACGACAGGGCCTGCTGCATATCCAGACAAACAAAACAGATGGCCGGAAGATGTCTTCATAAAACTACTGTTCCTAATCGACCCCAGACCCACCCCCCCGCGATGAATCACATGTTGTGGTTCGCCTCTCTTCTCTCTCTTGAGCCATCCAGATTCTTCCCCTCGCGGTGTTCGAGTGCCCGCGGAACGGGAACGGGTGCTCGGCGAATCACTAACGTGCGATGATAAGTTGTCTTTCGAGTCTCGGTCGGTAAGGTTCGGTGTAATGCAATTGTTCGCATGATCTGATGGCTACGACGGGTATCGAGTTGAAACCTGAGCTCGAACGCGTGGAGGTCGGGAAGGGTTCCCTTTTTTGTTTTAATGCCGAACGGTGGAAAAGAAAGGTTTTCTGCTGGTTTTGTCCACCGTCTTGCCGGAACTAGGGGTCTTTGGTTTGGAGAGGGGGACCGGTTCAACGAAGAACGAGCGGTTTAAAAGGGGGACCGGTCGCTTTATAAAAAGAAATCTGGTCCCGCAACCTCCACCGGAGGCGGGGTGACGTCAGGGCGGGCCGCGGCGGTGACGTCGCCGGCCCAGGTGTGCCTCCCTGCATGTGCCGCGGTTCCAGAGAATTAGTAATAAATGGCGCTGCCGGGGCCGGGGCCGGGGCGGTGGTTGGGGCCGTTGGGTGGGCCGAGGGAGCGGCGGTGGCCTCACCCCCGCGCCGCGTTGACGTCAGCGGCGCGACATTATTGGCGGGGCCACGTGGCCCCGCGTGGAGTCCACCGGGTCCTTTGGAAAAATAAATTATTAAAATGGATCTTCTCGAATCGTTTATACAGATTAATGCATAAATTAACAGTGTACGGATGCCATAGTTTTGTTTGTTTGTTTATTTTATTACGGATGCAAAGTTGGATCGGAGGTCTTCACGTGAGCATTATTAGTCAGTTTATTTCAGCTTAAAATAAAGAAAAAGGTACACATTTTTTTTTTATGTTAGGAATTTTAAATGTTATTCAGATTTAGTAGAATTATAAAATATCATAGATGATTTCAGGCGTCGATATATATATTTTTCATTCTGTGAAGATTTCGAGCTCTCTGAATTTTAGAAAAAAAAGTTAAAAAACACGAGTCACGAGATTATGATTAAGCTAAAAATAAAAGACAAATTTAGATGGACCTGAGCATGGTAGGGAGAGTTTCAATTAGCGTAATGATCTTCGATTACGTTAAAAAGAAACAGAAATTTCTAGTGAAATAATTAGCGAGATGCGCGTGCATTGCGCGGGTCTAAGACTATATGCATTATTCTAAATGTGTGGTGGTGGAAATTGGTGTGGCATTGACAGGGATGTTGTGAGCAATTACTGCAAGGAAGTGAGAGCACTAGGATACCGGATTGAGGAGCTGATATCGGAGAGCTTGGGCCTGGAAAGCTGCCGCGTGACCGGGGTGTTGGGCGACCAAGGGCAGCACATGGCCGTGAACTTCTACCCGCCGTGCCCCGAGCCGGAGCTTACCTACGGGCTCCCGGGTCACACGGACCCGAATGCGCTCACCATCCTCCTCCAGGACTTGCAGGTCGCGGGCCTCCAGGTCCTCAAGGACGGCAAGTGGCTCGCTGTCCAGCCCATCCCCGGCGCCTTTGTCGTCAACATCGGCGATCAACTGCAGGTAATGGATTGATTTCTCCCTCGTCATGCGTTATTAGTCTCTGTCTTTAATCTGTCTCGTGCCTGTCGCGAGCATTATGGCAGGAAAGCGAAGATATCTAGACGAAAATTTTGAACTTACAAAAATAATAAAGTTTAAGCGAAGTTGTTATACTGTCCTGAACTATCATATGTTGGATTCGGAGCCTCAAATTAGTATGCTTTGCTTAAAGACGAGGTTCAAAAGTCACATAAACTTGTCAATACTGCAAATAGTTGCTCTGTCATAAAAATCAAGGCATAAACAGACGTCGGTTTCAGGCATTGAGTAACGGGAAGTACAAAAGCGTGTGGCACCGGGCGGTCGTCAATGCTGACAAGCCGAGGATGTCGATCGCCTCATTCCTCTGCCCGTGTGACGACGCCCTGATCAGCCCGCCGGAATCACTGGTAGAAGAGGGATCCGTGGCTGTGTACAAGGACTTCACATATGCAGAATATTACAAGAAGTTCTGGAGCCGGAATCTGGATCAAGAACACTGCCTGGAGCTTTTCAAGAACTCTCGCAATTTGGCAGGAAGCGACACATCATCCTCCATTCTTGGAACAGGGTAACTCGACGGACTCTCCTCGCAGTTTAGTGAAATTTGACAAACACATTTAGCTTCTCAAAATATCTTCTGCACCATCTGTCAAAGGTGGAGGTCGGTCCTTAAGTTTAAGCGTAGTCTTTGGCTTCTTGATGCTGAGAGTGTCGGCTCTTTTGTTAAGCTTTATTTTTGGTATGGACACAAAAAGGGATCGACACTGTCAATCGACTTCCTCCTCTGCCGGGGGGTGTAGGGAAGATTTTGGAAAGCATGATGTGTCTGTTGAATTCCACTAGAGTGCGAAGAAAGTTCGTGAAGGTTTCCCTAGTTGAATATCGAAATGCCGCTTGTGTGATTCATCGTGCTTCCTCTTTGGCGATTATAATTTTTTGGCGCGAACGTCTGGCCATTGGCCCGTTACAGCTAGTGTATTGTAGTTGAAGGTAAAGGGTGCTGTATCCGTCGATCTCCTTGTGCTGTGTTCATTTGTAAAAGTGACATCTCTTTGCGCGATCATTTTAACAAGTTTAGGCCTTATGCTATTCATAGTTGTGTCGACACTCCCTTCCGCCGATAGCAGTGCGGCTTTGAATACATTTTTGTTTCTCTGTGTAGACCCTTCTTGATATCCATTGCTTCTGAGATGGGAATCTAAAGTGGCCATTTAAGTCTCTTTTACTTCAGTTGATTTATGCTCTCATACTTACAGCATCAAAAAATCATTGGCAAATTTGATCTTGATCCTTCTGCTACTGCGGCTGCAATGATTCACATCAGAAGTACCGTTTCAATCCCTTAGTGAGATTTTCCCTATTGTTCAAAGTGACTTACTAAAAAGAAGACAGAATATCACAATTTCATCATTCAGGCACATCCATATACTCCGTTTCGTTACACATTTTGTAAAATCAGTATGCAGACTCGAACTTTATTGACATAATCCAACAAATCTTGTAACTTTCTCCTCGCCCCATCACTGAGCATCATACAGTCACTTTCTTATTGTTTCCTTTTACGAGTAGAACTTGGTACCCCGAATCGAAATCCAGCTGCGAAAAAAGGGCTCATTTGCGACCTTTCAAATTCAAGAACCATGAACATCACCACCAAGAAGAGCAGTTCAAGCCGTCTTCAAGCACTCCATGACGTAAGTGTTGAAAGCGCAACACATGACTTGGAAGCCCTGAAATCCCGCCTCTTTGGCCAACGCCTCAAACTCCTTCTCTGTCCTCTCTTTCCCGCCTGGGTTGTGGGCCAGCATGATGCAGTCGATGTGGATCACATTCTTGGTCGCTAGGCTCGGGTCTGGGTACACAGGGAGTACGCACTCCGCAAGGATCACCTTTCCATTTTCAGGAAGCGCATCGTAGCAGTTCCTGAGGAACTTTGTGCAATGTTCATCACTCCAATCATGGCATATCCACTGCAAGAAAGAAATGTGCTTTTTATGAAGTAATCTTGCACGTACTCTAATTAGTAACAACTTTTTGGACCTGGCGAGAGACAAAATAAAGCAAAGAAAACGGCAACAAGGCTTGTCAGGTATTTCCTGAAAGTTTCCACTTCAGGAACAGAGACATAAATCTGACCTTCATGAAAATGGCATCTCCCTTTGGAACGCTAACGAACATGTCACCTCCAACGTGCTCCACACCTACGTTAGTACCAGCATTAGACTTTTCAGTGTTATTTTCAGCAAGGTGCTTCATATTAATCAAGGGGCAATGAATCAAACGCGAGATGTGAAAATGTTCCTAGATCTGGGGTTGCTCAAACATCTAGGAAATGACAACTTATATACCGGGTAAGGACGGAGCGTCTTCAATCACATGAGGCAAGTCGAAGTTGATCCCTTTAATCGACGGGTATGTGGCAACGATCATGCTGAGCACGGCCCCGGTGCCGCCTCCGACATCGACCACTGTCTTGAGGCCCTCGAAGCCCTTGTACGTTTCCAGTATCTTCTTCATGGTAATGGTGGAGTGATCGGACATTCCCCGGTTGAAGATCTTGTTGAATCGTGGGTCGGTGCCGTGATACTCGAACGCGGTCATCCCGTATGCCTTGTTGAACGGGATTCCGCCTTCAAGGACCGCATCTTTCAGGTAATACCTGCGAGTTGAAAAGCAAACAGTTCAATTTCATACTCAGGGAAGATAATAATGGGAAATTAACAAGTTCTTGAGCTGTGAAAACTCGAAGGAGATTTCTGATGATTCAAAAGCTCAATTACCGTCACCAGTTACTTCAATCTCTCGGATGATTCAAACATTCCAACATCTTTGCGATTGTCAAGTTTATACAGACATTAGCCATTCGCTCAGCCGATAAAAATTTTCTTTCTACAATATACTCGTATTTTATTTTACAATCCCATCGTCCTAGAGGTCAACGTAATCCTGGTCATCATGTACTCAGATCGGAAGACTTCTGTGTAAATTTACCAATGGATGGAGGATTTCGTTCAGGGGAAGATCGGGAAACCTGCTGGTCCGAAAACGACTTAAGTCTCCAATGAACAAGAAACTTCTGAAAATTTCTACCCAACAAAGCACGCAAAGTCTGTCCTTAAGCAAGTGCGAGTAACATGTCCGGCAATACTAATAACCGAGATAATCGTGCCCGTCTTATTTAATTTATCTGTATACATCAACCAAGAGCAACCCTCAATTGTCCGGCAAAAATTATCAAATCGAACTCGAAATCTTTGACGGAGCAAGCCTCCGGAACAGTCAATGGGGGTTAGGTACGGGGTCCCCATCAATGATTGGGCCGAGTCGGATACCAAGACTTCAAATTCTTACCAGGAAGGATGTGGTAATGACGTGATAGGGATCACTATATGCAATTATGCAGACCACATGTAGAAACCACGAATTTTATATGATTGCTTCTTTGCAGTGACTTCCTCCACTTGCATCATTCAAGAAAACGCACTTCACTAATTCACTGATGACACAGCAAGCAATCGTATACTATGGAGGGATGATTTCGCTGCGTCGAATGACTAGCGGACTGTGTATTTTCTTGCGGAAAACGATCTAAAGTCCAAGCAAGATGCAACCATGGACGACAAGAACAGCTTACCAGTAGCATTTATCTCAAGTCAAAGAGAAGTAACACGTGTAAGCCAACCAACCCTGGTATTTTTCATGTTCGTGCTTATCTAAAGTAACGCAATAAGCGTGAGTAATACAAGGACAAGGATGGGGGCCACTGGCCCGTTCCTGATCCGCTTTCAGACCTGAACATTCGAAAGTGATCGAATCGAATTAGGAATGGCTGATAAACTACAACCAGGCCATCCCAAAATATATTTTTACATACAGACAGCAGGAAAAACAGGCCACACCAGCTAAGCGCTGTACTTTGCGGAGAGGACTCGGTGCTGAGATTGCTGAAGAGATGTAAGGTCCATGTTCAGGATGAGTCACTGCTAAAAGCGACTCTTGAAAGGGAAAGAAGATGCAAGATTAAGACATTTTTCTGGACCATGGGATTTGGTAAGATCCATGGCTAAGGAGAGGCAAAGAACCTCACATATTACGTGGACCGATAGTAATCCTTGAAAACACCGAGTAAAAATTACGTGAAAGCTTGTATCTTTAGTGGGAACATACTATGAATCTCCCCGTTATGCATCTAGAATTGTAAGAATTAATTATCATCTCGGTGTCTTTCCATATCTTTTAATACCCGGCTACAGTTTACCATGTACTGTTTTGTTATATACTTATTGTGTAGCAGCAAAGAAAAAGAGCCAAAGAAAGAAAAAGTACCAGCTTTCCATGAGGACTTTGTCCTGGTTCATCAGGCTGAGTGGGGCAATGGAGACCCCATCCGCGTTCTTGACCAAGAACTTGCACACTGGGGCTAAACCGTAAAGCCGCTCGACCTTGCCATCGGGGAGGTCGCGGAGGGTGCACGTGAGCACGGAGTAGCTGGCCAGCAGCCGGAACATCCGGTCGAGCATGACCGTGGCGTCGGGGTTCCGGGTCGGGAGCTGGGCCGCGACCTCGCCAGGGGAGAGGTAAGCACCCGGCCCGGCCTTGGCCATGATCTCGAGGAGGTCAAGCTCGATGGCGGCCTTGAGGACCATGGGGAGCACGGAGGCGCTCGCCAGCTGCATGGCGAAGAGGTTCGCCTCCTCGTCCGAGACTTGGGTCGGGGTCATCTGGGTCTCGGATCCTGTTGATCCCATTTTCCTTCTCCCTCTCTTCTTCTGCTTCTTGGACGAGAATTGAGCCAAAGGAAAGCAGAGGAAATGGAATGAAAGAACAGATTGGCCAAAAAAGGGGTGGGGATTGAAGTGAGGTATGGTGGTGGGGGTCGATATGTATGGTACTTTGTGGCTCACCAACCCCGTAAGAATATAATGGACCCTACACGAGTACGTACATTCGTCCATCATGCCATTGGCACCAACCATTGAACCAAAATACAGACGGAAAACTCTCGTGTGTGTCTCTCTCTCTCTCTCTCTCACGCGAGTGATGACATCTGACCGTTTTAGGTTGGTTGTCGCTTTCCCACCAACTTAACCAGGCGTGAGAGGAAACACTGAGCTTTTGAGTACATGAGCAATATTTCCGAAATTCGATCTGATGTACTGATCCCAGAACATTTTTCTGAGCAATGATAAGGATGCTCTGCGGATATAACTTTGTTTTGATCATAACCCAATCGGGTTGCTTTGTATTCGTCTTGTCGGGCTCAAACCCGGACCGCCGTTGAGCGCGCGTACCTTTCACTAACGACGGTCCTAGTTTACTTGCGAAAGATTGGTCTGTTTCATTCGATATCCACGCCACTCGTGGTCAAAGACAGAAATTGTTTGCCCGCTACGAAAGACGGTTCGAATTTGGCCATTATCATTCTAATCAAACTGACTTAAAGATTGACCAACACGAAAGCAGCAGTCAGGTTTTACGAAAGGGCGGAGGTTGAAGTAGAGTAGACACTAATGAGAGACTCAATCGATTGATGGGAGATGCAAGTCTCAAGTCTCCGATCCTTTTCTCTCGAGTGTTCCAAACCAACATCTGCAGCAACAATTGAGGGAAGGAAACCTGCGATCCTTGGGAACCATGATTGATCTGATCATCTCAGCGATGTTTTAGGTAGAGTAGATGATTGACAAGAAGTCCGGCCTATTATTGGGTCCACAAGGACACCAGCAAGTGTTCTGATGACGATACGTTGGAGTGCAATTTGTCAAGGTCGAGAACGCTATCAATGTGGTTCTTGTTGCCATTTGGAAGGAGATCGACGTCTACCTAAAACATGGCGAAAGGTCGTTGTAACTTGGCCAAGTCGTAATCGAAACTTGTCATGTTTGAATAATCCCCATCTTCTTCAAACGTCGGACTTGACAAGAGAAAAGACCCGCCCTTTATCAATTTTTTTTTTCTTTTTTTTAACCGCGGTGGATGCTCTAATGTTCCAAAAAGAGTTCAATGCCTGGCCTACGAGTGAACTTGCTTGTGACAAGGCACAAAAACGATATAATTTATTAATTTATCTAGAAGGGCAGTATTTGTTTACAACTCTGGTATGACAAAACTTCCTTCGAACATACTTTCGATACAAGTTGTGGACATTATCCACATGTAAACTTAATCAAGATCAACGGCAGATTATGTCAATCTTTGAAACTCATCAATGAAAAGTATGATTGGAGGTAATGTCCTCCAACCACGGTGGCGCCAGTGACGCCACGTATGACGACCGGCTTCCACGTCATCGATTTATGCCCAAAATTGATCGGATGAACTGAATTGACAAATTATCAAAAGATTTAGGACTAAATTGGCCAAATTGAAAAATTTATGATAAAATTGGCACAATTATAATAGGCTAATGACTTTTTGGTAATTTCCCCCCTCATAGTATGAGGTGGAGAATTTTTTTTTTCATTTCCAAGAAATCCAAGAGACCGTGGTCCCAAATGTATCGATCCTATATATTATGGAGATTGGGATTTAGTACACGTTCAGACATTCCTTAGTAACACACACTTCCTTTGTTAAGTTCCTCTACCCCTTAATCTAATGGAGCGTATCTAGACCAGGATAGTTTCGGTTCGAACAACAACAATTTTACTTCAAAATCTTTAGACAGTAATCAATATTTTTCATCAACCACATCTTACTTATATATATATATATATATATATATATATATATATATATATATATATATATATATATATATATATATATATATATATATATATAAATCTATTCGGACGACAATTAATTCTCGTTCAATTATATCCCCATTGAGATTTCAAAGTCAAGCATCTCATTTGGAGCCTAGTATATGGCAAGTGCTGACATTTCTCAGCCATATTAACGATCCAGACACGTTTATAAGCTTTCAAATGCATATTCAGACAATTCACATATAGGCGTTCAAGTAACGTTCTCAAACAGGCACTACTTTTTTTAATTGCGCATCATTCATGCGGGTCATATCATCTTTTTATATTTTATCTGTTGTGGTTATTGGGTTCAACCCCTATTTAGCGTTGAAAATGATACGCATCATCCCTTCGGGAGATCACTCTCTCGTTTCGAATCATTTCGTTTGTTTCCCCCCTAAAGAAAGAAATGCTTTTCACCTTGTCGCATCGCAAGAAGTGAAATCGACATCCTCCGCTCTTCGTTTTTTCAAGACTTGGTTTCAATACGATGAAGAAAACATCTGCATTGGCCATGAATTCATAATCCGATAAGTCCGTCGCATTCATGTTGCTCGGTGAGGAGAGGAACCACGTTAGTTCGCTGATCATTTCGGAAGACAGATAGTGAGATCCTGCGAATGATGATGTTCTTTACATTAGACCCATCAAAATGGGTCATAGACCCATTTGTTGATCCATTTTTTATGAGCTGAGTTGTTATATGAAGTAATTATATTTATAATAATTGGGTTATATATAGGTTTAGAATAGTAAAGCCTAAAATAATATGGGTATTAAATGAGTTCACAATTTACTTACACCCAACCCACATCTATGACTCTCTCTTCGCTTTCTCGCCCTCATTCGATCTCGCACTTACTCCCTTTGTGCTTTCACCTCAATTTGGGTATGATTTTTTCCTAAATTAGGTTAGATATATAAATGATTTAGCAATATGGATTAGGTCGGACATGAATCATTGAATTTGCATTGCATGGAAATGGGTCAATACTGGTTAAAAGAGTCAATTTGGGTTGGACCATTTTTGACCCGATCCCGACCCACTCGTTTGACGGGTCTACTTTACATGATGCTCGAAGGAGCACCATAGCGTTTCCATTAGATAATTCAAATGAATACTTTTTCGACTAAGTTTCCTTATCTGTTTTGACTTGTGATGGAGTATATCGAAATTTAGTCAGGTAGTTGGATAGAGGAATACAAATCGAGGCAGGTAGCATTAGCTGCGTCATCACTTCTATCCAGCCAAACACTGCTTAGATTCCAATTTTCATATCCATGTTGGGGTTTCTTTATTACATTTATCTACGCGGGTACGAGTATATTCAAGAGGATTAGAACAAAGGGAAATGCAAGGGGGCAAGAAAGTTAGTGGGATAACATCTCCCACCTACTCCTTGATGGGAACAGCCACTTGGGCTGGGGCGACCTAGGCGGCAGGCACGATAGCGACTTTCGATCCGGCTCTTGCTTCTCGAATTCCTTAGATTTCTAGAGCCAAATTGTAAAAGCCCTTCCTCACCAACTTTCCCACCAAACCATGATGCATTCTTGTCCATGTTCTTCTGAGGTGGTGGAGTAGATGATCGAGCACGACCGCCACCACGAAACCACACACAATGTCAAGTCAAACTGTTCGTTTTCTCTTAGGGAAAGCGTTGATCGATTCTTCGTGGATAACATATTATACTCTCCCGGAGAACTGACGTGCACCCGATTTCTCGTTTTTCTGTGGAATCAAGATGAGGAAGACATTTGATTTTCCCTGGGAATTGCGGGATGTGTTCTTCTTGCAAGACTAGGAGTGAATTGTTCTGCTTCGTAGGATGTTCTTCCTGCAGAACTGACGGTAACTGATGATGGGCGTTGCGCGAAGCTGCCTCTTGTTTTGATTTCTCCGACCAGCGGATATGACGATTCAAGGCGGTGGGGCGGCGAATAGAAAAGACCACAGTTTCTTTTTATTGCGGGGATTGGTCTTGAAAGGCGATGGTGCGGAAAGAATAAAATAGGTTAATAGACTAAAAAGGAAATGGTTAATATCACGAAAAATTCTAAATTTTAACAAAAAACGCTAAACTGGTACACCTGTGACAATTTTACCCTCCGCTAATTTTCATTAAATTTTACCGTCAATTTTTTTTAATTTGGATGGCGTGTGGTAGTTGATGGATGTACCAGTTTGGGGTATAAGTGCACCACTATGTGATTTTTTAGGATATTAATTCAATTTAATGGAGGGTAAATTTATCACAAATGTATTAGTTTGGGATTTTTGATTGTCAAAATATTAGTTTAGGGTAAATTCGTTACGGTGTACCAGTTTGGGATTTTTGGTGGTAAAAAATTTAGTTTGTGATAAATTTGTCACATGTGTACCAATTTGAGGTTTTTTTATGGTATTAATCCAAAAGGAAATGACACAAATGGTCCCGGAATTATGGTCCAACGTGCACTATCTTTGGTGAACTTTTAACTTTGCCACAATGTGCAATGTGGTCCACGAATTTTTAATTTGTTTAATATGATTCCTAAACTTTGGTCTAATGTTCAATGTGATCCCCAACCTTTTAAATTTCATATAATTTACGGATTACATATAAGATTTACCAATAGTTTATGGACCACATCGAACAAATTAAAAATCTAAGGACGACATTGCATATTGGGCCAATGTTCAAGGATCACATTATACAAATTAAAGTTCAAGGACAACATAACATATTGGATCAAAGTTCATGTATCATTTGTGCTATCATCCCTAGGCTAAACAACCTTTTTCTAGGGGTGAGCATCGGTTTAGGGTTGACCCTAAACTATTCCTGGATCGGCCCAACCTGGCCAGTCTTGGTCCGGTTCCCAAGGGACTCTAGGTCAGTCCTTGGTCCTAGGACCCCTGGACCCTACATTGTGCGGATTGGTCTAACCCGGATCAACCATGTATATATTATATATTATATACTTTTGTTTACTCTAAGCCCTAGCGCATTCTCCTATGTTCTCTTCCTTCTTATGTAGTTCGGTTTGTCATGTAAATTAGAAAGTAGAAAGAAACCCAACCCTAATTCGACAAAAAAGAAGAAGTAGAAACCCTCTTTGCTCGCCTCGC